AGAATCCTCTAGGACATCAGTGCAGGTTGGGACCAATGAGGCATCTACCCTCATAGGCTGAGCAGCCACTGGGTTCGCATCCTCTCTACTGTGAAGACAGCATTACTGGACAACCAGCCTGTATCATGTAAGCCATTCTAATAAATTCTCTTTTAACATAAATTCATCCTGTCCTGTTTCTCAAGAGAACGCTGAAGCACCAGTCGCTTTGAATGCAGTGTTTGGTGATGATACTGTGACATGAATTAAAATTGTGTCATGCCAAGACAAAACAACCAAGCCCCTATCCTCACTCTCTAAATTCTGCTGTCAGATCTCAAGCTGTTTTTCTGAAGAGAACAAGGTGAGATCTGGTCTCAGCCTGGGTGGAACAGGATAGCACCTCACCTTGCTTCTGTCACTCACGACTGCCCACACCACTTCCAGAGACTTCTCCCCATTCAGTGGATGCTCAGAGTCTAGACACTGACTTTTCCTACTTCTGTCTGTATGAATTAATGTGCATTTAGCTCTGTTGCTGAGGGAATGGGAATTTTTTAAGTCCACAGTATTGAGATGAGCACAGAACCCTCAGCTAAAGACACCTGTCTGATGATGTGAATGTAAGTCACCACTTTCAAATTTCCATGGTGACTCACATCACAAAGAAAGTTTCTGACCAAAACTTTCACCTCCTGGAAGGTGTGAGTCTATGCCTGAGCCCTGCTCTTCTCTTCACGGGCAGACTGACCTCTACCCACACCCTCCATGTGATGATCTCCTTGGTTCATGTCCAGTCTGTTCACTACACTGAAGCTTCCCCAGGGCTGTTTAGATATGAAACAGAAACAAATTTTCTCAATGCCCTTTTCACAGTAGAACAGTATTTCTATATAATTATATTTTTTGCTATATCAGCAGCAGTGATAACAGTTTAGGGTGATTTTAACTAATGCACTTTAAAAGCATTTTAAACAGAGGATAAAGAAAATACATTCTGTATCTTTTATGTTTAAAAGCATAATTAGAGAAAATCAGATACCAGTGTAATTACTTGGACACAGATGCTAGAAAATAGTCTGGGAAGGTCTGTGCTCTGGGTTAGCTCACAAATATGAATATCTGAAGATGCTTTCATATTAACTCCTTCTCAACAGGCCTGGCTGTGATGAACACAGAGGAGACACCCAGGCCATCGCTGGGAACACGGAAGACCTGGGGACAGGTGCTCACCACAGGAGGTGTTTGTGGATTTAAATGTGGGTTCTTGGGCATGTTAGGGAAGTATCCCACAATGATCTTCCCTGGCCCTCATAAATATAAATGTTGAAGAAAAATTGAAATGCAAAGACAACTCCAGGTATAAACAAAATTAACAGTGACCAAAAAATAAAAATAAACAATTTTCCTAAACTAGGTTGAAACATTAATAAAGAGTATCTTTAGCTGTGCAATTGTTGAGTCTCATACACATCTACATTCTGAAATTCCTGTCAACAACAACTAATTGATACTTCCATCATTAACACAGATACCATTCTCTGCGTCAACTTTGCTTCTTAGAGGGAGACCAAGAACAATGAAGACAGGGCCCCCTGGCAGGTTTTCAGTGTGAGATGTAGTGCTTTTGTCTTCAGCCTGCAGGTCTGAGTGGGAAATGGGGATGTGCTAACCACAGGAGACACAATGCACATGTGCTAGATGAGGGACTTCCAGAGATCTGTGCACACCACTGTGACTATAACTCATAGAACATCTGACAGACATGCTGCTGGGTGATCAGGTTCATCTGGGCTGTGCTAAGGGCAGTATTGGACATGAAATTTCCATGATGCCCCCCCACCCCATGTTAGGGTGAGATTGTGTGGTGAGGAAGCAGAGGCCTTCACAGAGTGTGAACTAAAGCCATAGTGACCACATTCTGATCATGTGCCAGCACTGGTCTGCTCCAACCTGCTGTGCTGCAGAAGAAACCGGCTCCTCCCAGTGTCATGACCAGCCCACTCTGTCAGACATGACTGTCAATAGAACAAGTCCCAAATTGCATGGGACACTGGAAAGCCAGGAGACTGCAGTGACAATTGTGTGTGGTAGGGAGAGGTCAAAGTGAAAGTCCATTGCCCTTCTCCCTGGACCACTGCATGGAGCTGGCTCCTCTGCAGATCAATTGATGCTAACAGGAAACTGCATGAGTCAAGATGTGCATTTCATCTGTGTCCACAATACAAAACTCCTCTCAAAATAACACTAGATGTTTTTAAAGATCAGTTATTAGGAAATTATTACTGGGGGAAGGGACTTATAGCCCCTGCCTGATGAGAGAACTCACACATTGGATTCCACAGTGTGATGACATGAGACAAGAAATTATACCTTCAAAATCATTTGGAATGGGATTGTCTGTGCATTCTCTTCACTGTCCCACACTGGCCCATTTTCTGATTTAATTAACAACTCAATTTGAATAGATTTTCAGTTTACTTTGCATTGTTGTATATTTTCATATTTCAATAGAGGATGATATTGAATTTTAAGAAAGAAAAAAGTCAACAGTAAGCTGGAGATATAGCTCTGCTGGAATAAGAATTGG